CAGTGAGCTGCCTGAACAAGGGAAGAATTTTCATTTTCAAATACTTGACAAATACCTTTGCCTAGGAATGATTTTAGTTTAAAATTCTTACATATTTTTTCGGAATAATTGGTTTCTTCATGCAACAGGGCTCGCAATAATAATTCGAAACGGGTGGTATATTTTCTTAGAATAGATAAAGTCATCGACGATGTGGGTGTGGGTTGGTATGGCGAAAGAAAGACATACGCCCACACCCGTATTCCTTTATTATAACAATCGTGATCTTTAAAAATAAGCATTGGTCTATATACAAGCGCCATACGCTTCTAAATTACGATCAATCGTTGGCAGAGATATTTATCAAGTATTTGAAAATGACAAGTCTTCCCTTGTTCAGGCAGCTCACTGAACTTCAGTTATATTATCGCATCAAGTAGGGTTTAATGGATTCGAATCATGAAAGTTTCCTGAGAAGTCAGTCAGCTTCAATTGCTTTAAACAGTGAAAAACAAGTGAAAACTATTCATTCGTGCGATCGATGCAAACTCTCTAATGTCTCGATCAATTGCCTTCATAGCATTAGTAAACTCATTCATTAAGCATAGTCCGACAGAGTTAGCATAGTTGAGATAGGTAGCAATTCAAGTTGAGGCTTCTTCAAAAAATAAAGTTATTTGTTATTATTTTGTTATGAATAACAATAACTAAAAAAAGTTATTGTTATTGATAACAATAACAAAATAGTTATTGTTATTGTTATTAATAACAACAAAATAACAATAACTTCTCACCCCTAATATCAAACAATATTCATATAAATAAATACCCTTCTACTCGATGTAGCATATTCTATGCTCACCTTGATTTTCCCATCTAAATCTTCCACCGATTGCGTAGATAATAGCACCCGCATAGTTGCATGATGGATTGAACTCACTACAAAAATAAGATGTTTTACAATTGACTGTTCCGTGTTCGCTTTTGATACGTTGATAACAACCTTTGAAATTTTTTTTACCCATCTGAAATAAAAGTACCGCTTCAGCTTAACTAGGTGTCCCGTCAAAGTACACAGCAAACTGCCGAGTAGAAAACCTACTGAAAAGAAATTATACCAGCCCTAAAAGCTTCATCGTGTATTAATAAACCTTTTTATCGCTTAATAACAGTTTTCTATATCCCTTAATGGCTCACTAGACTTCCCAAACATTTAAATATTTATGAAAGTGCAAAGTAAAGCAAATCTTTATTGAGAGTTAATTCTGCGTAACAAATCCTTAAAAGGTTCAGAAAACTATCAATAACAGATAAAAGGGTTGCCGAATATACGGCGAAGAGTGTAGGACTGGCATAAATCCTTTCCAAAAGGTTCATTATTCTGTGACTTTTCTTACAGTTCTCAATGAGCGACTTTTCATCTAAAAAGACCGTTTCCTTTACTTCAGAAATGAACCAACGGAAAAACCACATTCAAGCAGCAGAGATTATATGCAGCACTGAATGAATGAGCGTGTGGCTAGCCGATATAGGTTTGGTTGTGCAAGAGGAAATTACTGCAGTTACATCCACACCACGACTTTGATACAGTGGTTTGACTCATGCAAATGGGGACATCGGATACGCGACAAAAAGAGAAAGTCAATTATTTTTAAAGATAAGAGAAAATTTCTTATGGAGATTTGCCGTGGCATGACACACCATATCCGATGATCAATAGCTGATATTTTTACCTACGTGCTCGTTGTATAGACTGATTCCGTAGATAGGAACTCGCGGTTTTTATACGCGTGAAACAGTGATCATCATCGTTACTATCATTAGGTAATAATTATGGCATTGTACCTCTGCGCAAAATTATCAATATCCAAATTGAATTGCAGGTTTAAATGCAAAAGTAAACAAGTGATTCAACTGTAAAAGGATTTCACTAAGAGAGAAAAGTAGAGATTGGGGGAATAAACCAAATACAAAAGAAAAGAAGAAAAAAAAAGAAACAACAGTTTATGACGAGACGAATATCTAGGAAGTAAAGAAAATTCTAGCTGAATCCTTCCAACTAGCATTTTTCTTCCAATTTGATGTAATACAAACTATTTAAGATCCTATAATAACCAGTACTCTCGTACACTCATGTCTTAGAAACGAATGACGGCCACTATCTAATAGTAATTTATTATTTTACTTTCGTTGAGGGTGTGGGTGTGCTTGTAGACATGAGAGATCCCCAGACGTTCCGCTACACCAACACTTTCACGAAACCAAAAAAGGATATTCCGGTTGGCAACTGGGAGAACCTGGTTTTTAGAGTGTAGTGTGCACTTTTAAGTTTGCAATATTTAAGATTGCATTTTTCTTTTTGGCATACTTTGCGATCGAATTTCGTAAATAATTAACATCAACGAATTCAAATTAACAAGTAGTCTTAGACAAGAAAGCATGGCTCGTGCTAATACAGTACGAAATTGTTCGCCAAGAGTAACAAAAATTGCATGGGGTCGTGTTGATATTGAAGATAATGGTTATTTCAAAGACGTTAAACTTTATCCAGGTGGTAAGTAAGTCTGCTTTTAGATTAATATATCACATGTGATGTATCAACTAAGAATTGGATGTCATTGGCAATATTATGTGAAATGTGCAAAAATGAAGTTTTTGAGTTATGACTAGGGGTGGCACATTTACTTTACTTTTCGTAAAAGTAAATAAGTAAAGTAAATAATTTATTTACTTTTTACTTTTGTAAAGTAAATAAAAAAAAGTATTTTTTAAGGAAGGGGGTATCATTAATCAATTTTTTTTATTTACTTTACAAAAGTAAATAGTAAATATTTTATTTACTTTACAAAAGTAAATAATAAATAGTTTATTTACCTATTTACTAGTAAAGTTAATATAAAGTACCACCCCTAGCTATGACCCCGTTTAAGATATATGGTATCGGCGGAATTCGATGACTTTTCGCACAAACCTTATTGAAAAATATTTACTGGCCGACTCTTAATGAATATTTTAGTATTAGTACGAAACTTAAGTAGGCCTTTCGTAGGCATTCGTGAGATGGTCATATCTCAAGAAGGTCTGAACTACTCACATTGAAATCTTCTGTAGGTATAAATCTGTGAGAAATGTGAGCTTCAGTTTAAAACGCTTGATACTTTTGTTACTATAAATTACGGAGTTTCCGTATAATCCACTTTGTGACTTCTATGGAAAATGTTGAAAGACAAACAGAATACCTTTTTGTGGATGAAATCTAAAGTACATATGAATCAGTATAGATGAATCTTCATGCCCATGCTAGGCTACCCCTCACCAGAAATGTAAGATAAATTATGTTGAATGCTATAAGCATCACCTGATATAGCAGATACGTTAGCTGGGATTCGAGAGGCGGCGCAAGACATCTACATGAATTTCTGAAATAGAATTTAGCCCTGTGAGGGTGTGGGTGTGGGTGTGGGTGCGAACGGGGGTTGATTGAGAGATTTACACCCACACCCTACACCCACACCCCATACCCACACCCCATACCCACACCCCATACCCACACCCCATACCCA